GGTCTCCCCTTATTGGTCTCCCCTATAATCCAGATAAAGTTTCATAGGTCTGCTTAATACATTAATACATCACAGTTACTTTATCCCGATTAGACTGGCTCCATTTTGTCAGGAGTAAAGTCCTTTTTGCCTAGTGCGGTGGTATGCCTCATAATGTTATACAAATGTGGTGGTCCTGCTCACACGTGGAGGGCCACTGGAAACAAGTTGTACAGTTTTTACACAATGTAATGGCATCCCATTACATCCCAGAAAATGCCTGCTTGGGCTGCTGGTCTTTTGCCCTACGAAGCCATCTCTTCAGCAATGTGTAACAGAAATACTCTTTATTGCTTGGAAACCTCTTAGTAAATATTGGATACAACCTGCAACTCTCACTTGAACAGGATATAAGAGTACAGTTAAGTTAATACATAAAAGTGTAGAAAATGCTAGTCTCCCTTCTTGAAAACTAATACATTTGCACAGAGGATTCCCAGGGAAATTTAAAGCAATCTGGGACAGATGGAGATCACATGTAGAAATTCTACTCTGATCTCACATAACTGATGGTTGATGCCATCAACAAGTGACACCCATATAATGCTTGGGTCCTGTGACCTGTTTATGGGTGCAATTACTCATGATCTACCTAATCATATTGCTCCCAATGTCAGGTTGGATGTCTGCTAATGTCTGGTTGGATGTATTGTCATGACATCCCCATATAGCCACCCCCCTTGCTGCTCATATTGCCTGTATTTCCACGTTTATTTTAGTACTGTACCATGCCATATAGCTTTAAAACTTCTTTCTTCCTTTTTGCTTTTATGTTTGTCCATCTGCGTATGGGGCATTTTACAACCTAATGTACTTGTACTGTGATAAACATTGTTTCTGTTTATATTGTTTCTGTATCAATAAACTAGATGAACACTCAAAAAGATCACTGGTGTCAGTGGTTACTTACCTTAGAGACAAGAGCTGAGGTCCCATTCTGTTGGCTCTGCCTACTAAGTTGGTGTTGAAACAATACAGGCACCATTAAGCTAGAGATCACTCCACAACAGCTCAAGGAACCCCAAACAACCATTGGAGGAACCCAACAGACAGTATGAAAATAGTTGTATGGACAGGTAGCCATTCAGAATTTTGATAAACAAGGTTGATTAGGCAATACCTCACAGAATTCTCTGTGTTTAATGCAGCAGTGAGCTCTATGACTTTGCCACATGACTGGGCTCCCCGCTCAATTTTCTTTTTTATACAAGCCCTTGCATTCAGCAGAGACCACTAAGCATATTTTTGAAGCATATCACTGTGCTTTATAAATGTGCGGTATCTTTTTCACTTTTTTGGTACTGGTATGGCCATACCACTGCTTTATAAGCTGGTCTCCATATTTTTCTAATGACGGGGTTTCTTTAAGAATAAACACAGCTGCACATGTGATAGGTACAAAAATAGCATGTTCTACAATGCATATTTTCCCAGAATCCTTAATCCTGGCATAGTGTGGCAGGGGGTGCTATCCATCAAACCCCAGGTTCCTATCTATCGTGAGATAATATCACTTTCCACTGTGTTATTCTGTGGGGTTGGTTCAGCAACCAGCAAAGCTATTTGTGACACTGATGTATCAGCTCGCACAAAAACAGAGCACTGGGTGTTATCTCATGGGAGATTATATCTAGAGATTGATGAATACACCGCTTGGAATAGGAAAAAAAATATGAAAGGGACTTTGTAACGCAGATCAATGAGTACTTTATCACAATGCAGCCGATTGAATATTATGCATCTCTTGCATCATTACAAGCGTTCTCAATCATTACACACTTCAGCCCAGCTGGCCAGGAGATTAATATCTGCCCTGCACAGCTTAATCTATACCTGGCAGGAATGACAATAATTTGTGGCATGCCTACTTTGTACTGAGTAATAGTTATGTTGTATTATGATGAATTTCCTGATCACATTCTTGTTATCGGAAAGATCCCTGCAATCATTTAAACTGAACAATTCTCTGTTTCAGGGACGTGCTGTATTTTTTAAGTCAATATGTACATTGCATCTTCTTGAAAAAAACGTATTCATAAGAGAGGTTCTATTAGTATAATTCTCCAGTATGTATGAAACCGAAAATTTTATAATGAGATGCTTCTTTACAAAAGCAGATTGGGGCTTAACAAGGACATTGACATAAAAGAACCAGTCTTAACTTTACTTATGCGAGAAACTGAACATTTAAAGCGATTGTCACTTTTTACAAAAAATGAGAGCTGTTTTCAGGTGTAACGTACAGGCACTTAGAGGTATCTGCACATTCCTGCAGAATCTCCCACTTTTGCTACAGCCAAATGCTGGCTGTTTGGAACAGGCAAAGCTTAGATGCCTCCATGTAGTGTCTACACCCTGGCCTATTTCTGTGATGGACTGCCTTCTTGGACAGTAGGAATGTGTGAGCCAGGGCTGGGAAAGCTCCCTCTCTAGAGAGGCCAGAATTTAGCCCTAGCTGATGTGAATGAGATCTGTTTCAGGTATGCCTGAATGCTTTTAGATACCTTCACTTTACACTTGCTAGCAAGCTTTTTTTTAAAGTGACAAAACCACTTTAAATGATTAATACTATGCAGGCTTACTTATGAAGGAGATAAACTTGCTCCCTTCTCAAGCTTTATTTACTTTTTCAGAGTGTCTGACAAAGCATTGTAGTTAACTCTAAATAGGCAGAGCCAGCTTGTCAATCATGCAGCTGGGTGGATCTCGACAGTAATGTCGGGATCCGTCCCAGCTCCGATGGTCTCAGTATACCGCAAGCTGTAGCTCGCGGTATACTGAGCTTTGGGTCACGGGAGGAGACTAGTTTGTGTCCTCCCGTGACCCTGAGGAGAACTATGGGGAAAAACACTTACCCCATAGTTCTCCTTTAACAAGCTTAAGAGTCAGATTCATTTACACCTAAATAAGGTATCAAATGTAAATCTATATGCAGAAAAAGTATGAACAGATAAGATCATTGATAAGATTACATTAAGCTGACCACTTTCCTAAATAAAACTTACCACTATTTGTATTTAAAATGGGATGCATAACTTCACTGCAATTGTAGAAAAATGAAAATGCTTTCTGTGTAAAGTTACTTTTTCTGATGTCACCATGGCTCCAACTGGCAGGAATATAAGCAGAAATGTAAACTGCAGTCGCTGCATGTGTTTGCACCCTGTGCTGTTACAACAGTTGCATGAAAACCCGACACAATGCATAGTCATGGTTAATATTTATATTACTGTGGAGTGAGAATTGATATAGTTAATTTCCTTAAAAGAGAACTGTAGGGAAACCTTTTGATCACATAATTCTCTTTAGGGTTACACAAGGACATATACTAACCCCCTCCCATGACCCAAAGCTCAGTATACAGTGGGCTATTGCCCGTGATATACTGAGAGCGCCGCAGCCGGGACAGATCCCGACAATACGGTCGAGACCCATCCAGCTGGCTGATTGACAGCGGGCTCTGCCTATCTAGAGGCTGAGCCAGCTAAGCCCGCTCTCTCCCCGTCCGTTCCTCCAGTCAGCGCTGGAGGATCGGAAAGGGGAATCCCTGTGGGGAGTGGTGACTAACAGTCACCGCTCTCTGCAGGGAGATGATAGGGAAGTGAGCGAGCGACGGTATGTCTGATAAAGCAGAATTTGATAGATGAGGTCATTAAAGTATAAAAAGCCAAATACATTCTTATTAATTTTGGAAAGAATAAGTAAATGGTCAAAACTGTGGTCAGATTTTTGGCCATATGTGTCCCATTGTGAGATTTCTTTTCACTTTTTATTGTAAAGTCATAGTAAATCTCCCCAAAGTAAAGGAAATCCCCTTTTGGACAGTTGTCATTAGAACAAATGTTCCCATTGGAAAATTTCCCCTCAACTCCTATTTTGGGGACAACTTAAATAACAACTCAAAGATTTTGAGTGGACTTTTCAGACAGTGATAAAAGCCTGGCAGCGGTTCTGATCAATCAATACTCTATTTAAATGTAAAAAATAGGAAATTTGAATTACCTGTAAAATTATTTTCTTGGAGTACAATACAGGACACAACATGATTGGTTGTTCCTAGACCAATGGATTAGCTACCTTCAGGTGACTGGACACTGGCAAAAAAAAGGAACTTCTGAATCTGGAGAAACATATTTAGGAGGTTCAAGCTGGGTTGAACATCTCCGTTTGGCTTGGAAATCGTAAATAGGTTTGAGTAGAACCCCTGGCATATTTCCCCACATAGGACAGGTATCATGAACCCTTGAGACAAGAGCTGATGGAGTAGAGCATAGATATTTTCTCTTCTGAAAGGGGAGGAAGGCAAATTTCAGAACACAAAGTAAAGAAGAGGCAGAGACCAAAATGCTAGTTGGTAACCCCTGGTAACAATCTTTCAGACCCAGAGATCTGGAAAGTGTTGGGACCAGGTGGCCATGAAGGCCCATAGCCACCCACCCACTCTAAGAGAGGGCTTGGTTCCAGGCATAGAGGTCCAGGGCTTACAACAAAAGAAAACTCCTGACTTGGCCTTGGAGATGTAGGCACGAAAGAAACTGGGTCTTTCTGGGAGTGGAAAGGGGTATATGGGGACTGTACACAGCTTTTTTTGGCCAGTCTCCAATCACCCCGAAGGTAGCTTCATATAACATTTGGTCTAAGAATAACCAATCCTGTGTTCTGTACTGTATAATTAAGTAAAACAAAACAAGTTTGGGCTTTGGATACACTTTAATGTCTTATGCTTAATCTGAAGAAGGGAACAGCAAAAACATACATACACTGACTCATTACAATAAATAAAGGAGCCATCATACTGCCTCAACCATCCCAACCTTGTGATAACCTTCTGGAAATCAAATGGCTGAGGGAGTTATGCGCTAAATACAAAAGCCATTAATGGCCCATAGAGATGGAGTGACTTAACCAGAGACAATAAAAAGCATAGCCAGTAGCATTTTACAAAAAAAAGCTGAAATTACCTTGTCCAGCTTGTCGATGGAGGAGCACACAGTTCTGAATTTGGATTCTGGGATGCCACAAACAGTAAGAATTCCAGACAGAAGTCGTTGGTCATTCACCTAATGCAAAGCAAAAATCCCATCTAGAATGTTTCATGTTACCCAACACATTTATTCATGCATAAAAATAGTAACAGTAGTCCACTGAAATAACATTATTTTTTATAAAGTGTAACATTTAGGCCTTGTTCACACCAAGCGTGGAGCAGGTGCAGAGCAGAGCAGTTACAGACCGGAGCAAAAACTGCACGGAACACATCAAAAACGCGGCAAAAACGTGGCACAACCCACTGCACTGCGTGTGCAGAAACTCATGCAGATCTGCTCTGCATTTGGTGTGAACAAGGCCTTAAAGCAGACCTTTACCCATATCTTTAAAATAACAACAAACACACCTTTGTATGTGAAATGTTTAGTAATGACAATTTAAAAACACATACTTTAGATAATTGCCGGCTTTGTATTCTTTGCATACTTTATTTCTCTTTTCTTCCTCAGTCTTCTGACAGTGGCCATGTTTACTAAGGGCAGATTACTAGCTCTCCCATTACTTCCTGGATTTCTGGCACATGTGACTAGGACATGTGCATGCACATCATCTCAGGGGAGGAAATGTCTTTCCCTGAGATCTCCTGGGATTACAGATGAGATTTCCCAGCAATGCTCTGTTCATGACAAGGCAATCCCATCGTGCATTGCTTTGCCAAACTGATGTCATTTTGCCCTTTCAAAACAGGAAGTGAATGCTCTGCAAGTGTAAGTATTTCAAAATCACAGCATTTTACACCTGACATGTCTATGTTATTATTAATCATCACACATAGAGGAATGCATTGGTAGAATTTGATTTTTGAGTGCAAAGTTCCGCTTTAAGGGTGTACATAGTGCCTTTTCACTCTGTAGGAATACAACAGTTTTAGGTTGACTAAAAACTAGTTAACTAATTCTCCACTATTTATACTATATATTAAGTAACAACCACTTCAAAATCTCTACGAGGATGGCACTCTACGAAATCCCACATGGATGGTAGGTTCTGTGCGCTTCCTACAGTTGTATATCCATATCTAGCCGAGACATTGCACATGAGAACATCCCATCTGTCAAAAGGAGTTATGGTCTCCACAGTCACCATTCTCTAGGTAGCCCCAGGGTTCACCTCTCCCACTAAACAGCATTGGCGTGAAACATGTCAAGCATACTTGCCAATCTTGTACCCAATTTAACCCCTTAAGGACAGAGGCAATTGTCCAAGTTCTGAACGTAAACAAAACATTAAATTTGAGCTATATGTATATTCAACCATAATTTACCTTTCACATTAAGTGCACCCACATTTATTATATATTGTTTTTTAAAGGACAAATAGGGCTTTCATTTGACGTCAAATACAGTATTTATAAATTAACTGTAATTATATATGAATAAAATCTAACCAATTATGAGAAATTAAGACATTTTCATTTTTTCCAAACATGCACACACACATTTTATTGGGAATATGATAATATTGATACGTTTTACTGCAATAAAACACCCATAATTTTATTCTGCAATGTCCCATGAGTACACCAATACACCCCATGTACAGGTTTAATGGGTTTTATGGGAGTTACAGGGCCAAATATGGGGCTTACCCATTACACTCATCATAAATGGAATTGGCACATTGCAGTTTTGAGCCTAGGTCACATTTGAGACAGTATGACAGCCTAGGAATGAAAATTGTTTTATAATAACATACCATTTTCAAAAGTAGACAACCCAGAGTATTCTAAATAGGGTATTTTGAGTTGTTTTGTACAGCCACGTTATCACAAATGATGGCCACCTTCAGAAGCTTATATTTTCATCTGTGCTTTTCACACACATAAATTCAATTTTCCCAGGATATTTGATAATCCTTATATGTCTTACTGCAATAAAGCCCTGATATTTGTAATTAGCAATGTCTAACTAATATAACGGTAGCCCATGTACTGGTTATACAGTTTTTTTGGAAAGTTACAGAGCCAAATATATTGCATACCCATTTCAAAACTTGGAAATTTGAAACATTGATTTTCTGGGTCTAGGTCGCCTTTGACACAGTATGTCAGCCTAATAAAGAACATTTCCAAATGATGGCATACCACTTTCAAAAGTAGACAACCCAGGGTATTCCAAATGGGGTATTTTGAGTTGTTTTGTGTAGCCACTTTATCATGCCTTTAGAATGCTTGGTTTAATGTAAACAGGGACAGGCCAAGGTCAGGGGATCCAGAAATCCAGTAGTCGGTATACGACAAGCCCAGCTACACAAAATAATTGCCAATAAATCAAGTCACATACAGAATAATTTGAATTAATGGTCTACCTGTGTATGGTAGACTCTGAAACAGTCTGTGATAATAGGCCTGGTAGAGATGGACAGGAAGGGCAATAGTAATTAGAGTCTTTTCTAGCTCCTTTTTTGTAAAAGCATTTTTCTGGGGTGGCTTTTTGCAGACTGTGGCCATATACCTAACCTGGATGGCAGTATTTAATTCCTATTTGCTTTACAAAAAAACAGGCACAATTGAATTAAATACTGTCATCTAGGTTAGGTATATGGCCAATTTTTTGTACCATGTCTTTTGGGTGTACCAGATATAGCTGTATACACTGATCTGCTACCCTACCTCCACCCATATACTTACCCTAGAATCTGGGCAACCAGGTGGATCTAAATGGTCTTTCCCCTCATAAATGCGAAATACCCAGGTATAGCCTGTACTGCATTCACACAGTTTATAAAATTTAATTCCATACTGCGCTTTGATGGAATTTATGGCTTAAAAAGCAATCTTCCCTTAAATTTCATGAGGAACTCTTCCACACGCATATTCTAGTCAGGGATGTAAGTTTCTGCAAACTTTCCAGAAAAAGAGGGGTAGCCAGGATGGGGTGTTTGTGCCAAGGAAACGTATGCTGGGTTTTTTCACTAAGCCCATTACCATGGTCAGCCCAAAACTTTTTTAATTTCTGTTAGGTCAGCCGGGTGCCAGGTGTTTTTTTCTTAACATAATGTGAAGCAGGATTACCTAGCTGATACTGTCTGGCATATAAATGTGTATAAATAGCCATATCTTCAAACACGATGTCAGTCAGGAAAAGTTTTAAAATAATTTATTGGCTCACAAACTGGAATGCTGGTTGTGATGCCAGGAGTTGCTGTAAATTGAGGTATTTCAGGCTTTGTTAATTTTGAGGGCACCCAATTTTGGCCCAGAGTATTGGATGTTCTGAAAGACTCCTTATAGATGGTGGTAGGCTGGGAGCACCATCACTAGAAGCCTGACTTAGGCACTCTATATCAGATACTGTTAGTGTGTCACTATCAGAAAGAGCAAAGGTGTTACTCTCTGAATCATGGGCTAGAATGGCATAAGCCTCCTCTGCAGTATAGTAATGTGCCATAATACAAAAGGAAATTTTGTTTTGATACCAGGATACTTGGCCAGGCGGCAATAAAAAAGCAATGTCAGGACAAGCTGAGTCAAAAACCAGTTTAGACAAAATACTGTGATCAGAAGTTACGTGAAAGGGTAAAAACCTAAAAAGGGGGGGCGTGGTTTCCGCGGTGAGCGAGATGGCAGCCTAATTTCAGAGCTCCTGCCCGTCTGCACCCAAAATTAGCTTCTGAAGCGCTCCCGAAGACTACATGGGGAATATCGGCCCGCAATATCCCCCCACAAAAGGGAACTCGCAAAATCCGCAAAACATGCAGGTACCGGAGATATTTCGCTCCCAACGCCACGATGCCCCTGAGACGGCACCTCCCAATATGGCGTCGACATCCTCCCGCAAGGCCCAGGCCCCGAACCACGACCCGGCAGACGACTCCTTAAATTCCTATATCAAGCATTTACCGACCCAGTCCGACCTGTCCTCCATGGCAGAGGATATTAAAGAAACCCTGTACAAAGCGGTGTCGGAGCTGCGGGATGACATCCGCGATATTGGCAAGAGGTTGAGTGTAGTGGAACGTGCAGGAGAGGCTAGAGATGTCGCCCTCAGCAGACTCCGCTCGCACCAGGACTCTACCACTCACTCCCTCATTAACATGAGACGCCAACTAGAGGACCTGGACAACAGAGGCCGCAGGTCCAACATAAGAGTCCGTGGGCTTCCAGAATCCATAATGCCGGACGCAGTACCCACCGCCCTACTCCAGCTCTTCAATGACCTGCTGGAGAGGCCTCTGGACTCTCCGATTGAATTTGTGAGAGCACACCGCGATCTAAGGCCTAGGAATGCGATGGATGACATGCCTCGCGACATCATTTGCTGTCTCCAGAGTTTCCCATTGAAGGAAGATGTGGAGGTGAAGCTCTTCCAGGATCTTTCCCTACACACACTACAGCAACGCAGGGCCCTGCGTCCCTTACTAGAGTGCCTCCGTCATCATGGGATCATTTACAGATGGCGCTTCCCCTTTTGCCTCTCAGCCACGCACAGAAGCAAAACTGCTATATTGCGCACACCTGAAGACCTGGAACCATTCTGCTCCATGCTAGACCTGCCCCCAGTCGCTATCCAGGACTGGTATGAGAACTTGCGGCCTACTCCCCAGCCCCGGAGGGAGCGGCGTCAGTCCCCACCGCGCCCACCTGCTTCATCCCACCGGCACATCTCGCCATTGACCTCCTCGGACCCGAAACGGAGCAAGTCACGGATATCGCCAACGCGAGGTAATGGATCGCAATCCCACTCAGAGGATCCCGGCAGCAGAGGGAGTGAGCTTCACTGATGACTCCCCGGGGTGGACTCTATAGTTCACGTTGTTGCCCCTCAAGCTGGCAAAATAACCCGTCACCGGCGGACACTCACCAGGCCCCCTTCTTCCAGATGGCAAGACCACCCGAACACCCAGCACTATTCCCTACTTAGGCATCTCTCCCCTAGTACCAACTGCAGATGACCACGCTACCCGATGCTAAAGACTCCCACAAATCTCATTGCCCCTCAAGCTGGCACCACTGATCGCTGAAGACACCACCCGGATATCCCCTACCACAGGATCCACAACACCTAGAAGC